AAGAAACCTTAAATCATTTGCTCCTTCACTATACGTTTGTATCTCTGATTTGGCATCGGTTGTTCAAGGAGTTTAACCTATCCTTTTGTATACCTAACGAGGTCGATGATTGGCTTATTGAGGCTTTGGGAGGTGGAAATTTGAGGAAAAGCGGAAAAGTGTTGTGGAGTACAGTAATAGCTCAAGTCCACTGCTAGTAGATATTGTCCTCTTTGGACTTTTCCTTTTGGGCTTCTCCTCAAGGTTTTTTAAAACACGTCTGCTAAGGAGAGGTTTCCACCCCCTATAAAAAATACTTTGTTCTCCTCCCCAATCAATGTGGGATCTCACAAGTATAGTGACTCGAGCTTTGTTGTGATGTTTGTGGCTTGAAAGAAGTCGTCATCTCTTTGAAGATACTGCCTCCTCTTTTGGTTCTTTTGGAGTAATCTGCATTCTCTAGCTTCTTGGCGGTGCATGGAGAATAGAACTCTACTAGAACATTTGGAAGGGTCCAATACCAAAAAAGATCAGATTTTTCCTTTGGGAATTAAGCCACGAACGATACAGCAGATACTTTGCTCAAAACGACTCCTTGGATTGTCTCCTTTCCAAATTGGTGCACCCTTTGTAGAAATAGTCGTGAATCTATGCTGCATTTATCATTACATATCAGTATGTCCGACTTTTTTTGGAGGAAATCCCCAAGTCTTTCCATTTAAGTCTCACCTTCCCAGGAATGGGTCACCCACTCACTAAAGGAAAGGCTGTTATGTGGGTAAATATATCTTCAAATCCTTTCTTTGGTCTATTTGGCTCGGAGGAATCACCGCATCTTTGAAGATAGGGCGCAAGATTTCATTTCCATCTTTGATCACTTGATATATATTGTTCTCCCTTGGTGTTCTCTCCTTTTCTGATTTTAGTCTCCTTATTCTGTTGGGTAACATCTAGGAGATCACTATATATAGGGCGGTGACGAAATGTTTGGATATCTTTCTGTGGAATGGCACCAACCTTGCCGTAATGTTACTGATGTCTTTTTCTTTATTACAGATTTTTAATCATAGGATTTATTGTTTCCTGCAGGGAGAGAGAAAGATCTCTGTTTTGGTTGCCATTTCTCTTGCATTCACTTTTCATATTATCGGTGTGTACTGGTGGTATCAGAAGGACGATCTCTTATATCCATTGATCATGCTTCCTCCCCGAGCAATACCTCCTTTTTGGCACGCTATTTTCATCATCATGGTGAATGGTAATCTTCTGCTCTAATCATACTCTATCTGCTGTATTGTAACAACGAAAATGGTTTTCTGCATTTATTTTCTCAAATTTCTCCTAGTGATCATTAAATTCTTAACGATTAATATATCCGTAAGATTTGGGGTTAAGGGCACAATCATTTCATCCTCATTTTTGTAAACGTTTCCTGCAATTTTGCATTACAATTTATGAAAGTAACTCATAAATGCACAACGCTTGCTTCTCGGTATCATATGCAAGTTGCGTTGGCTCGTGTAACTGGTTTAGTGAATTGTATGCTTTTGTTTTGGTTTCGCAGACACTTTGGTCCGTCAAGCAGGGATGGTGGTCAAGTGTGTTTTATTGATGTATTACAAGAACAGCCGAGGCCGCAATTATCGTAAACAGGTGAGGTAATATAGTAGTGGACTCTTGTTTGTTCATTAAACTCCTTTATTTATACGAATAGTGGATCTATGCTTTAATGCCATCCTTTAATTAAACTCTTTATTGATTTCTCTTTACAATTTTTTGTTTTCTAGTGAACAAAGTGGTCACTATTAACATTTATTTACACATTATCTTCAGGGACAAATGCTAACTTTAGTCGAATATCTGCTTCTACTGTACCGTGCATTGTTGCCTACTCCCGTCTGGTATCGTTTCTTTTTGAACAAAGAGTACGGAAGCTTATTTTCGTCACTATTGACAGGACTTTACTTAACTTTCAAACTCACATCTGTTGTTGAAAAGGTATGTTTTCTACTATTTTGATTTTTCGACTCTTTACTATTATACCGAGCATTTTGTTGCTAGATGGTCTCAGTCTCTAATGTCTGTTATCTCCTGTTTCTTTCTGATGTGGATTTCAGGTGCAATCCTTCTTTGCTGCTTTGAAAGCATGGTCGCGTAAAGAGGTGCATTATGGGGCCTATGCAACATCGGAGCAGGTAATTAACCAAACGTTCTCTCTGTTGGATGTCATATATGTTTCTATTTTATTGTTTTTTTTCTTTGGGTATCTGTTAATATAGTAGGATGTTTGCATTTTATAAGATATTGCAACATCTTAAAGTTGGTTTATTTACGAGTTTCTAATTTTTAATAAGAAACAATTTCATTGATGTATGAAAATTACAAAAAGAATGCAATCTATGGTCACAGAAGACTTTCCCAATTGATCAAGAGGTTAGACAATTTACTCCACGAAAACACTACAAAGGGGGCCTCTTTGTCTATAAAGTGTGAGATCTCACATCAGTTGGAGAGCATAACGAAACATTATTTATAAGGGTGTAGAAACCTCTCCCTAGTAGATGCGTTTTAAAACCTTGAGGGGAAGTCTGGAAGGGAAAGTCCAAAGAAAACAATATTTGCTAGCGGTGAGTTTGGGCTGTTACAAATAGTATAAGAGCCGGACACTGAGCGGTGTGCCTGCAAGGATGTTGGGCACCCAAGGGGTTGGATTGTGAGATCCCACATCGATTGGAGAGGAGAACAAAACATTCCTTATAAGGGTGTGAAAACCTCTCCCTAGGAGACGCGTTTTAAAACCTTGAAGGGAAGCTTGAAAGGGAAAACCTAAAGAGGACAATATCTACTAGCGGTGAGCTTAGGCTAGGCTGTTACATAAAAGACTCTTTCATTTCTTTCCTTCCAAAGAACCCACAAGAACTCCCTAGAAATGTGTTCCACAGCCAGAGCTTTGGTGTTGCGTAAAGGATGGACACAAGGATCATGGTGAGTACAATTGTGAGACCAAGTTTATAGGCCATTTGGAGGTGGAAGATCATTAAGTTTCTTCACTAATAAACTTGTTGAAGTGCTTCATGCTGCAGCCTGTAGGTAACATGGCACTAGATTTCACGTGAGACCACCTTGAAACATTGAAATCACTCATCAATAGCCAATTGTTTGTGCAAATGTAGGAAAGTTGCAAATGGATGGGTTAAATTTGAGGACATAGGAAAAGAGAGCAAGAGTTTGAAATTATCAACGAGCCATCAAAGGGTCTTCTAGTGGATAGTAAGGAAGAAGGCCCCACCTCTCGTTCTCTTTGTTATTTTGACCCGACTACTCTATATCTGCTATCGACTTCGATGGAGTAGTTGGAGCGCTGTATTTGTAATGTTTTGGGTTTTTCTTTTCAATCTATAATCTCTAGGGGTCCGAGTTATTGGTTGCTGGCGATCTATTTGTAAGTTTTGATAAAAGTGGAACGGAGAGAGCGAAATTTGGTAGAGATCTTACTCGAACATTTGTGAAATGCAGGTCAGTGCAGCTGGTGATTTGTGTGCTATTTGCCAAGAGAAGATGCATGCTCCTATCTTACTCCGATGTAAACACATATTTTGTGAAGATTGTGTATCAGAGTGGTAAGTTTATCACATACAATCTGTGCTCTGCATACATAATAATAAATTTGTGTGCATTAACTAAAAGGATATGATTTTGATTTCAGTAACCCAGTAGTACTATTTGTTTCTTCATTTTACAGTGTCGAGCCTTTTAAGTTCGACCATGTTGAGTGTTTAATAGTCACGTGTCATAGTTATTTCGAGCATAGCTCAGTAGATAAGTTATTCATCTACTTCTGTATGGTTGAAAGTTCGAGACAAAGGGTTATATCATAATACACAAACTCACTATAGTCTTGTTCTTTGATCGGTGTTGTGTGACTTAACTTCTGGCGTTTAACTTATGGTTCATTCTGACATGAATATCGGACTGGATGGTGCTGTGTGCAGGTTCGAGCGGGAACGGACATGTCCATTGTGTAGGGCTTTGGTTAAGCCTGCGGATCTCAGGTCATTTGGGGATGGATCAACAAGTCTGTTTTTCCAGGTTTTCTAAGGCATTTGCTTCCGGTTTGAAGAGAGCTAAAGGCAGCCATAGCATTTTTACCTACACACAATGTACATCTAACTAATACTGTGTAAATGCTGCCGTGGAGAGAGCGAAACCATCACTGCTTGCTGCTGCTCACAAGGTGTACTCGGAAAGGCGACCGTAATGGTAGTCCTTTTTGTGCTACGGAGGAGGACGGTTGATGTTCAAGAGGCGGAGGTGGACGTGGACGTGGACGTGGATGCGGACGAGTTTAACCATATATATATATATATATGCAAATTTGTATGAATTGGTTGGGAGTTGTGTGAAAATTTGATAGCACAGGCAGTTGATGTGTTGATTTACATATGAGTCAAAATGCATAGAATGACAATCTTTTGGAGTGTTAGAAAGTGTTAAAATACCCGTACAGAATCTAAACGTTTTTTGGCCCTTCAATTTGCCTTGTGGATTTGAAGAAAATGAAGAAACTACTTGAGATAATTGACATCTACTCTCGATTCTAAGGTTAAAAGTCCGCATATTTTCACCCGTGTATGTTGAACTAAGCAAAAAAAGGAATTCGTTAAGATTGCGTATGTTTATAATTAATTTTAAATTATTTAGAAGTATATACGTTGAATAATTAATCTTAATTCTGTAGATTAAATAAGTAAATGTTTAGCGGTCAACTCGTGTGCATACTTAGTTGTTAGTTAGGTCTACTCGAACCTAAATTTCAGTGAACTTTGAAAAGCTTAGGGATAGGATTGAGATTAAAAACAGAATGAATTGATATTATTATTATTATGATAAACTTTGCAACATTTCACCTGGCATTGGCATACTCTACAATTCTCACTTGTTAATTTTAGTAGCAAAAAAATGGTCAATAAAAGAAAAAGGAGAAGCAAAAATGAAACCACCACCACCAACTCTGCCTTGTTGCCGCAATGCAATAGTTCTTGTATGATTTCACCCCACTCCTCATGAACAAAGAATAAAGATAATGGAAGAAAAAGAATCAAACTTTTTTTCACAGATTATTAGTTCAAAGAATAGTAAGCAATCTCCTTATGAAGATTTAGAAAGGCTCATGGAGGCTTTTTTCTGTATCTTCTTCCTCAGAAACTGTTGTGGGAGTTGGCTCTTCTCCATCACTGTCTTCCTTTGGAACATCTTCCATGGCTGCTGCTAGTGGACTCACAGAGAGAAATGAAGGTGAGGTTGGAGAGTTTGGGGAAACCGAACTAAAAAGCATCTTGGTGATGGTCCCGGGAGAGGTGGACATGGGATACACTTCTGTAACTTCTTCCATTCCTTCATCTAAGTAAACCACGTTCTGCATGGTGAGTTGGTGGTACTCTACAATTTCCCTTAAGAAACGGTTCTCCCGAGCATATATTGAATTCCCATGCGCCAAACGAGCCTTCTCAGCCAAAAGAGTCTCCAGTTGAAGCCGAATCTGGTGTTAGAATTTAGAAACAGTTTATCCTTTGAAGGATCCAAAGGGTCTAGTCTTAGATATCCAGTTTGCAAAAATAAAAACAACATACCAAGTCATCATCTGCACGATGGTCTCCCTTCTCGCGATTTTCCCTCAGTATTTTGTTTTCTTCCTCTAATTGTGCACATCTTTCTTTAGCAAAAGCCAGATCTGCTTTAGTGGTTTTCAGCTCCCGCAGTAATACTTTGGCTTTGGCTGCTGTCGCCATCGCCACCTACAGTTCAAGACAAGTGGTTCACATCAAGATATTTTTCTTTTATTCAAAAGTTCGATCAAGTAAAACTACTCAGAATATGGTTCATATCAGATTGTAATTGACGATATTTACATTGAAAATCTAACGCTAGGAAACATTCAATTCCTTTTGCAGAATTAGAATCAGAAAACTTGGTTCATATCAAGCTACTTACTTTGTCAGAATAAACTTAGCTAAGATAATGACTCAAATCCAACCAACTTGATTTTAATTCGAGAGAGAAAACGTCGATAGTAGCATTACGATACATAATTACAAAGTTGGCACCTTACGTCTCGAGATGCCTTCAGTTGAGTTTCATGATGAGTTTGCATCTGTGGTTCTAGAGAACGCATATTCGATTTCTGCCATGGACTGTTCAAAGCTGGATATAATCCTTCAGAATTGTTGCTCTTTCTCCTAATATGCAGTTTGCCAGTTTCTTGAATGATGTCTACAGTCTTAGTTTCCATAATTGTGCGACCTTCCTGCAAACAAGAAGAGATGTTGAAAATGGTGAGATCAAAGCTAATTTAGAACATCCGCCCACTAAGAAGACAAGTCCAAGATACTCTTAAATGAAGTTTCGACTTTGAAACAGGCTCTGCTACAGCTGGAACTGAATGACAATTAAATTTGCTCATATTTCTGCAGTTTTTAGTTTAGTGACGATATGTTTCACAATAGTATATTAGAGTATAGGTTTTTGAATTCAAACTTTTACAATGTCTATGTCCCATTTCATATAACAGTTCACTTATTTGATCTTGTGTTAATTTTAAAATTCAGGAGTGAGAAGAATGTTGAGAAATAAGGATGTTAATAACAACCTTAAGCTTTTAAATCTTTTGATGGTTTTAGAATTTTCATGCAAATATATGATTGAGTCATGGTTATGGATATCCTGATTGATTTCACCATCTTGCAAAGTTAAGTCAGATTGAACTATAATTAATATATTTTCTCAAATATAAAAAGGTTGATAAATCTGAGAAGGGGTCAGCTAATTATCAAATTATTAAACTACTTTGGATACAGGAAGAAAACAAGATATACGAGAATACAATAAAACCAATCAGAGAAATGTTTTACGTGAGAAGGAGCGTCACTGCTCTTACCTCAAGTGGCTTTTCAACTGTGTCCCCACGTTGATTAAGCGAAGTGGTGATTGCAGGATTGTCCGATTTCTTTGAGTTGCAATCAGTAGACTGACATGGCTCCTGAAACCATTTCTCGAGCAGAATATGAAAATCAGAAAAATAAAGCACTAAGAACAATTGAATTGCATACAAGGTAAATCTTTATGTTTGTATGAGAAGGTTCAAACTGCAAAGAGTTTTATTTTAATCCTTCCTTTTTGAAAATATAGCATGACACTTTAGGTGGAAGGACGTTCTAATACATGTTGGATTTTTAATAAAATATATTAGAAGAGTAGTATTCCTACGTAGAAGGCTACAAGAAAGTAATGGACTCTAGCATATGTGCATGGAATTTCGACAAGCTTTATAAGTCCAATGAAGATTGACATATAAATTTGATGGAAGAATGAACTTCGACATGTAGCAAGCACAAGTTAAAGACGTGTTAATACAATCTAGATTACACAAAACTTTGATGGAATATCAAGTGGTGGTGCTTCTGAAAAGATAAGCGGTGATGGTGATTAAGTGAAGTCTAGTAGTGGCTCTAATAGAGGTTCTAAGAAGTCCAACATGAGTGAAGAAGAACGAGAGGAGCCAGTAAATGTTAGTGGTGGTGCTTCTGAAAAGATAAGCGGTGATGGTGATTAAGTGAAGTCTAGTAGTGGCTCTAATAGAGGTTCTAAGAAGTCCAACATGAGTGAAGAAGAACGAGAGGAGCCAGTAAATGTTAGTGGTGGTGCTTCTGAAAAGATAAGCGGTGATGGTGATTAAGTGAAGTCTAGTAGTGGCTCTAATAGAGGTTCTAAGAAGTCCAACATGAGTGAAGAAGAACGAGAGGAGCCAGTAAATGTTAGTGGTGGTTCCAATAGAGGTTCTAAGAAGTCCAACATGAGTGAAGAAGAACGAGAGGAGCCAGTAAATGTTAGTGGTGGTTAGAGGTTCTAAGAAGTCCAACATGAGTGAAGAAGAACGAGAGGAGCCAGTAAATGTTAGTGGTGGTTCCAATAGAGGTTCTAAGAAGTCCAACATAAATGAGGAAGATTGTGAGGAACTGAATTAGAGACTATATGACATCATCTCTAAGCTGGAGGTGATTGAATTGAAGATAAAGGATGAGAATAAGGCACTCCCACTTATCTTGTCACTTCCACCTTCCTATGAACACGTGAAATCTATTCAACACTAATAATTAGCAACTAGAAGAATAAGAACAAAGACTTCGTGCAAAAGAAAGGTGGTTAGGAATGCAAATCAATCTAGAAACATGAAAAAGAATTGTCCTAACAGAGTAGCTTTGTCAAATGGGTCCAGGCTTGATGCTAACATTGTCTCTCTCATCAAAGGAGATAATGACTTCTCTAAAAGAAAAATCATCCTTACGGTATGTTTGTTTTACCATGATAGATGATGTGATGTTAGTAGTTTCATAGATTTGTACACAGACATTGGCTCGACAGTTATACAAAGTGTGTGTTGTGGAAGCTATATCGATGATTGAAGAGATTCCAAGTTAAGTAGGTGGAAGTTGCACCATAAATTTCAGCATGGTTTATCATCATGTGTCAAAGTAAAAAAATTTAGAAAGTGACATTCATGGCTTTTTCTTTTGGTTTGGGAGACCATAAATTTTACCTTTCCTTTTGAGTTATGTGAAATAGAAAAATATGGAAGGAATGAAAAAGGAGTAACTGTTTCAAATTTGAGAGACGACACATACATAAAATTAACATGTAATATAAAAATCTCTAGCTCCCCTTAGGTACATTAATCATAATCACAACTATTTGTGCCTATATCTATGCAATATATCGAAGCCAAATAGTAGGTGCTCACCTGACTATGGGTTGAGCTATCAATGGGCTGGAACCTACTTGTTTCTTCTTCTATGGGTATGTCATCTTCTTCGAGAATGGCCTTAGCTTTCCGAGCTAGTACGCCCCAGAACCCTGATTTCTCACTTTTGAATGTCAATTTCTCTCCAGCAAAACTCTGGAATTCAATGGATAGATTCAGAAAAAGGATGTTATATGGAAGCAGCTGCAAAAGCGTTTTCGAATGACCAACAAAAAAAAACAGAACTTGCAGTAGAGTTCAAACACGGCAATGAACCACTAACAAATGCCATAATTCTTCCAATTGGTTGGGCAGTTAAACATATAGACGAGAAAAAATCCCGATGAAATCAAATTTAACGTTCAGAATTCACAAGATTTGCCAAAAACAGAGGAGTTCACGCAAAATCATATGCTCTGAGAAATGAAACCAATAATTTGATCAATCACCTCCTCGAAAAAATTCGGTTATTGGAAAATAATATTGATCTGCAATAACTTAACGCAACAACGGAGACATAGCAACAAACACAATCAAATATGAGATTTCACGGAATTCATCATTTGGAATCATCGTCAAGTCAATCAATAGGAACCTAAAAGTGATCGATTCAACATTGCAGAGTTAAATAACAACAACAATAATAATAATAATAACGCGCAGAGCACCTTGGATCGTAAATGGCCAGGGGGAAAAGTGGAGATACTGCCATAGGCAGAGGAATGCGAAGGATCACGAGCAGCAGCAGAAGCTCGGATCGCCTGAGAGGCAAGAGAAGAAGAGGTGGAAGAGGAAGAAGAGATGGAAATGTGATCAATCTCATCGGAAGGATGATGAATCTCCTCTTTGAAAGTAGAAGCCCTCGTAATTCCTTGTCTCCTCCTGTACGCCATTATTGTAATTGTTGTTGTTCTTGTTTCCGAATCGTGATCGTCGGAGTTGGAGAACAATGACAAAACGACGCCCACCGCCACCGCGTGCCGCCGCCAGCACCACCGTAATCTCAACTGAAAATGAATCGAATTGGGAGAGAATTTGCAGTTTTGTTATTCTTTATTTTTCCCTCTTCCTTCTTTCCCCTTCCGCCTATAACTAACTTCCCCTTCTTTCGCTTTTCTTTCATTTTCTTTTTCTTTTTCTTTTTCTTTTTTTTTAAATAAATAATTCCCCCTTTATCTATTCTGTTTTTTAAAATAATATATATATATATATATTCATTATAAAATTTTAAAATTAATTAATCTAATAAATATAAATATAAATTTTATATTCAATAGAATTAAATACGGTAGATAGATTGAGTTGAATTATGTTAGTGATATTTTTTGGAACGGCCCGACATTTTAAGTTGACTGAGTTGGTGACCCGAATATCCCGTATTTGTTCACAACCCAACCCAACCTTCTACTTTTCGGGTTGATTTGGTTTGTCGGGGTATTCATTTTTTTATTATTTAAAAATAATTAATTATCTACGGTATATATTACATTACTAGCTAAAAATTCATACAATGCATTACTAAAATTTGTTACAAACGGCAAATATTTTTAATTTTCATAAAAAATTAAAAAGTGGGGTTATGTTATAAACTCTATATTTGGGTTAGTCGGGTTGACTCGACTGAAACCCTTTGAACCCACGAACCGAAAAGTTGAAGAAAATAGAGGTTAAAAGTTTTGTTTGAAAGAATTTATTTTTGTTGATGAAGTTAGTTCAAAACCGACATCATATCCGATGTTATCATATACATAAGATCATATCGGTCTTGTTATAGTATAAGATGACAGCTCAAAAGTGACATCGTTTCTAATTCAATCTGCAATAAATTTATTTAAAAAAAATTCTATATAGTATGTTGATAAGTATCATCACATGATACTCGGGTGACGTTTGACACGTGTTTTATACCCATTCAACCTGTACCTTGTCGAGCTCTTTTTGTGTAGAACGCTTCTTAATATTAGAACAAATTTATTTATATTCAATGACTTGTGGCTCGATTTTGATTTTGTTGATGTGATTAGTTGTTCGTGGCTTTTCACATCTCACAATGAGGTGCCCTTGGGCATACAACCCAAAAATCTCGAAAGGGGAAACTGTTTCGCTCTTGAACCTATGGAAACCAAATTTCAGATCGAATTCCCCTAAAAACTATACGTGTGAGTCTCCATGCATGCGCCGACCAGATTTAGGGTTCAAAACAAAGAGAAAAACACCAAAATGTCAATAAGTAAAAGAGACAAACGGGACAAAATTTGGGATTAATCAAAATTACGTTATTTTTTATCTTGAGTTTTGATGATAGATTAAAAACGATATCATTTTGACAAGTGGTTGGTTTGCATTCATTCAAAACAACAATGTTTTATACCAACGTACATAGACGGTTAGTATGTCCAACTCCTTTTTGATGACGACTTGAAGCTGTCGTGATTTATCCCATCTCGATATATTTTCCTCAAAATAAACGCATTTTCTCCAAACTATCCCACAACATCTCGATACATTGACGGTTTAACTATTGAGCTAGATAAACGGCTCATCTCGCCGTGACCTTCATTTGAATTCTCAAAAGTTCTTCTGTCGCTCCATCCCTACAACGGCAAAGAACCCATCGCTGTCTTGACTGTGCTACCGGAGGCTCTGGGGAAGTCGAAATAGGAAAGCACTATTCTTGGGGTGGACTTACTACTTAGATGCTTTCAGCAGTTATCCGCTCTGCACTTGGGTACCTACCGTTTACCATGGGCACGATAATTGGTACACCAGAGGTGCGTCCTTCCCGGTCCTCTCGTACTAGGAAAAGGTGACTAAAGTAAATTCAATAGTCTCTTTGAAAATATACGTATTACCATAACTATGTTTAAATTGACTACACTCAATAAATTCTCGCTATTAATTTTTTTTATAAAACTTAATTATATATTTAATCTCAAAGGGTCTAATAGATATCTAAACTTTTAGATATTTATTCTTAAATTTTGATTTTTTTTAAAAAGAAAATCACTAATTTGGACACAAAATCACATATTTAGATTAAATTTTAAATTTTTTTAATAAATTAAAAATGTTAAAGGGAGATTTTTAAAATTGAGATAATTAAAAGTAAATAATTTCAAATTTTTAGTTATGAACAGTTAGCGGTTGAAACGTGTGGGTGATGAGGCTAAGTGTGGCCCAAAACACGGACTGAGAATCAATCGGACCCATTCAAACACTTTTTATTTTTGTAATCATCAGACAAAGAGATCAATTCGATCAAAGCATGAACACCCAGATACAGAATTCAATCCATCACTATCCGAATTTTGTTTAGCCTTTTTCTTTGAGAAGAATGTTGATGGGTCAATTACGCCGCTCGCTTTTAAGCGCGTTTTGATTCGTTGAATGTTCTTCGTTTTCCATCCAACAATGGCGGCTGCTCCCGGAAATCGTTTTCTCTAAGAACCCCATTGGCCTCCTCCGCCTGATAATCACGTTGGTTTTCGTTTTTCCTCGCCGATTTCTGTTCATCTTAGTATCATAACGTTTTCACGATTCAAAATGAATGTTTCCGAACAGCGTTCTTCAATTATTTGTTTCTCAATCGTTTAGCCCTTTTCGTTGATTGTCTTATGTTCTTCGACTACAAGTTTTCAGATCGATGTCTTCGATTGGATGAGTTCGAGCCGAATGTTGGAGGTTTGAATCACTGGAAGCGAACTTTGATCTTCGTTTGTTTCGTTTCATTATGCAGTTTTTCGTTTTCCCTAATTGTATGTAATGTCATTTTTGTGCTCGCTGTGCTAATCATTGGGTGATTGACTCGTTTTCTTCTATTGCGATTGCGTTGAAATTGAAAACCCTTAGTTTAGACGAAATTATGAGTTCCCTTTTTGTCTTGTTTACTGATTGAACTTCTGGAACCATTCTTGAACCCTTCAAATATATGTTAGTGGGATGGAGTTTGTGTTGTTGGAGGGTTTTAGCATCAAAATTGGGGATGGACGTGTGAGATCCCACATCGGTTGGGGAGGAGAACGAAACATTCTTCATAAGGGCGTGGAAACCTCTCCCTAGTAGACGCGTTTAAAAACCTTGAGAGGAAGCCTGGAAGGGAAAGCCCAAAGAGGACAGTATGTGCTAGTGGTGGGCTTGGCCGTTACAGTACCTATGATTTTAAAAACCTCTTCCTAGCAGACGCGTTTGAGAATATTGTTCCCTCGGTTGTACTTTTGAAGTTCTAGGAGTTTGAACTCCTGGTGAGGCAATGGAGGGAGGTTGGAAAGGGCAGTTCATTTGGATTGAGATAAGAAAACGGTGAAGTGAGGTTAGGAATGAAGTGGTAAAGGAGATATCTACTTCTGCTTATGTGATGTTCTTCTCTCTTTTAAATCTCTTCTCAACTAGGGGTTGTGGAGGGTTACGAGTAGTTGTCAATGTACAAGAGGAAACACGGACGAGGAGTGGCTCGTGACAGGTTTCATGATGAATGAAGCGGTATCACTTGAGAATGAGAGTAAGTTTGAGATAGTACAAATATAAAACAACTTAGTTAAGAGCTTGAATACATGGCTACAAGGCTAGAAAACTATGACAATTCAGTGTGGTCGGTCTCTCAAGTCGTTTGATCGTCTCTGTATAACTGGCATTGTTTTTCATATTTGACTATGTTGAGGATTGTTGGGAGGGAGTCCCACATTGGCTAATTTAGAGGATGATCAAGGGTTTATAGGTAAGGAATACATCTCCATTGGTATGAGTCCTTTTGGGGAACCCTAAAACAAAATCATGAGAGCTTATCCTCAAAGTGGACAATATCATACCATTGTGGAGTTCCGTGATTCCTAAGAGATTGAACTTCAACTTAGTTAAATATGATTTAGTTTCTCCTTTTTTTTCTTGTTTCACTACTTGTTGAACTTCATGTCGGTTTTCCACTGTTCGTGATTTTTGCTTGCTGGTCTCGTTTCAGATGGACATCAACTTACAAAGAATCTTGGAGGAGTTTCTTCAATCCACTGCTCATGTGATGGACAATAATCAACAGGTCGAGGAACGTGGTCTAATTCAATCGCCAACTTGTGCTTGTTGCGAACGATTCCTAGTACTTGATAACGATGTCAGTGGTGAACCTGAAGCCATTGGTATATGTGGCGATTGTAAATTTTTGTTACTTGAAGATATGGAATTCCCTGAACAGGATTCTTATAACAGGGCGATGCCAAGAGGAAGAAGAACAAGGCATGGTAGTTCAGAGTCTCCTGATAGTCGTTTTTCACAGGAATTCTCCCATATGATTAACTTGGCGAGGCAAAGTCAGTCGAGTATCTCTAGCTACGGGGATCGGTATGCAGATGGTTCTAATGCTACTTATGCCACGCAGGACTCGAGTTTGCTTATGAGCCCCAATCAATCTCGAAGATGGCGTCGAGCAAACTCTGATTCTGAAAATGATGGTTTAGATAGTATTGACTCTATGTTTCGAGAGAATGGATCAAATTTCAGTTTTGGACCTTACAGACATTCTTATGGTGATATTGATTTTGTTTCGTATGGAACTTATGGGGGTGACTCGGATGCTTCCATGGACGGACAAAGTTCCTTGGACACAGACGTTTTCGTTTTTCCTGGTGATGGATTCAATGATTCTGATATAGACATTGATCCTATGCGTGCTGGTGTCGGCGATTGGGACTCGAGTGATGAGGAGGAGGATCTTGGTGAATTAACAGAAGCTGACACAGAGCAAGATGCACTTGAAGTAGAATCTTCTCAAGCTAGACCTCCACTTCAAGATTTTCAAGTTTCTAGTGCTACTGGGAGAGCTAACTCTGGTAATTGGAATGAACAACTTTCTTCACCAGAATATGAACTCGAGCGAATCAGGAGGAATGGGAGATTTTATTCGAACATCAACTATTCACAGTCAGAATTACTATCTTTCGTTGAGAATTTTGGTGAATATCTTGACCAACAAGGCTTTGAACAACTTCTTGAGCAAATTGCCGAGACGACCAGCTCAAGCGTGGAGCACCTCCTGCCGCTGTCTCTTCAGTGAAAAATCTCCCACTTTTGGTGATTTCTAAAGAACATTTGAAACATGACAATATATCCTGTGCAATTTGTAAGGATTTCTTACTTGTGGGCGTTGAAGTGAATCAACTACCTTGCCTTCATCTCTACCACCCTTCCTGCATCATGCCGTGGTTGAGTACACGGAATTCGTGCCCCCTTTGTCGATATGAACTTCCAACCGACGATCGAGATTACGAAGAGGGAAAGCGAAGTAGTATCAATACAGCAGAGGTCCAAGGAGTTGGAGCAAATCTAGAGTTTAGAACCAGCCAAGTAGAGGAGCTGAGCAACATAGACTCTGCAGTTAATAACAGTAACAATTCAGGCAGACACGACGGTAGAAGAAGTTGGGTGTTCATGGCTGCTCCGATCGTTGGTCTTGCAGGTATAGCCCTGATGATATGGTTTGGTAGCCCTCGGTGTGATCAAAGAGTACCCGGAGGCCAAGCTGTAGACAGAAGGCAACTTGATGCTCACATTGCTGATGCATTGAACCAAAGAGAGAGCAGAAGCAGGAGATGGTGGTGAATTGTCTAGCAATAACGTACGGTACAAGAAATCAAATTAACACGAGCTTTCTTGTTTTGTTCATTTTCCAGGATTGAAAAGGTTCTGTGATCTTCTTTTACTTCAATGAAAATGCTTATACACAAATGTTCTCCACATGAATATACTGCGGCATTTGGGTACCCAAATGTTTATCTCCACATGAATATACTGCAGCGTTCGAGTATCCTTGGAGCGGCGAACGATGGTGGTTTTCTTCAGCATTTAGTCTATTATTGTTTTCGGCCAATATCCGATGGAGAAGGTAAAATCAAATTTCCAAAACTTGAAGTTCATATGAGTTTATTTCCAAAGTTAAATATATTTGAGGATATTATGATTTTAGTCATGTACTGTCCTGTTCTTTTGTCTGTTTCGACGTTGGTTTGTTTTGTTTATGAGAGTTCGTTTTCCATTTTTACATTTATGTTCTGTTCCATGATGTTTAAAGTCCTTCAGACTGCTATTTTTTGGTTTATTCTAAGAAGCTTGTTAGCTTTGTTCTGATTTAGATTTAGACCAACACTAAGGTTAGCTTGTTGTCTGCTCAACAATTCTCAGCGTAACTCAACTTAACTCAACGTAAGCACATGTATAAAATGATCTTTGTTAAGGTTTAGTTTGGACGAGAACTTCGAGTATCGTGTAAAGATAATTCGATGGCTAGTATGTGAAGTTCACATTAAACAGTAAACTTCTAACATAGTTTAGCTTGAGATCAACGGAACAAGAACATAGGGTAGTCAACACTTTTATCCAAACACTGATTGATGAACCTAGTGGCTTGGCTGGACAACTAGTTGACTCCTTTTTTGATATCATATCTTGCAATAAGCCAAGAAATGGGTTATGTCCTAAGATTTAGCATTTTCATATATCTTTTAACCTATACTTCTCTCGACATTATTCGTACTTGTTTCAACGTTCTCGGCTTCTCTTCTCATCGCCTTCACATTACTTTTCTTTTCATGGTTCTTTTGCTTCATCTGGACTCCGAGCTTCTATTTGTATACGCATTATTGTATAGCTATTTTGTCAGTAGATGATACATTTTGGAGGAGGTTTAGTCCATGGTCATTATGTTTCTAAATAAATCTCATTAGCTTTTCTATTGTTTGTTTCTTTTTTAGGAGATCAAATCTTCCTATATTGTGATAACTTTAGTTGAAATTTCAAATGCATCGTCACCGATTGATGTAGGTGGGCAAAGGCTTGGAGGCATGTACTGTGTCATATTATTTGTCAAGTAAGAATGTTGCTCATTGATGCAACCAATAAATTGCTACCAAGTATTGTTGTATTTGTTTTCTGGGCAAGACAATGCAGAGCTGCCCTTAGCTGCGACAAGTAACAGTAATCATCCCTGTGTTCCAACACCTAATTCTTGCTTTAATCCCAGTATTTTTATGTAAGTTGGCTTTGAATGACCTTTTTAGACTTATGAAGATTTGTTAGTTAGACTTATGAAGATGTTCTAGTTAGTCGTTTTTTGGCAGGTTATTTCTAGTAGTCACGTAGTCAAGTCAATGTAACTATCGATTCAACTACTTTGTTAAGCAAGTCTTGACTACTATTAAAAATTTCTGCATATGTTTCGTTGTTGTGGACATCAGAGTATCATCGAGAGATCAAAAATCTCCTCGTTCTTTCCATTAGAGGAATCGAACTTTACATAACACTAACATCGTTAGGGAAGTACTTATTCTAGGAAATTATTGAATGCTAAGTATTTCATGTGTGTCAATTGAGCTAAATCGAGTACTTAAAAGTCAATTTTATTAAAATATAATTATTATAAATGATAATGATTAAATAACTGTATTATAGTACCAGATTAAAACCATAATACTATATTATAGCACTTTAACATGTTTCTATAGTAGTATTCGTACTTTTAATAGTGTGACTTTACTTTTAATAGGACATTCAAAAAACGCTCTTTTATAGTCTGCGATATCGTTTCGTTAGTTATCATACAATTTCATTAGAAGAGTATCCTGAGATAGAGGACCAACCATCCAGCCATTGAGATGATAGCAAATATATGAACCCAGAAAAGAATAGCAGCGGATTCTCTCCCGCATCCGCTCAAAGTAGCCACGGTGCCTGCACAAAAGAATTTGTTTCATGAATTCAGACCATGTTAAACATCATTGACTATCTGTCTTGGTTTAGCAAGATTGAATCCAAAGCGTTTAGCAAGATCGGAACTTACTCGAGAGGATAGATGTTGGCATCGAATGCTGAAGAAGAAGAACGAATCGGAACATTTTATCATCAGGAGGAAGAAAACCAAGCTTATCAGCCAACATAACAATGCCAAGTCCAGTAGGAGGTACCAAAAACAACCTTGCAAAAATAATGGCAACGGTGGTCCGAAGCCCGAGTTTCGAGTTTCCAGGACCTGCAAGCAAATTGCAGGTATTGAATTCTGTTTTAAATCAAAAGATTTCTGGGTTTGATCTCTACCAAAGTAGGAACGTGGAACCTATTAATATAACTGAGAATTATCGTCATTGGACTGGCTAACCTTCAACAAGGTTTCCTCCCAATGCCAACAGGATGCATGGAATCATAGCCCCCCTGACAATCACAAACACGGTTAGATTGTATTGGTATTGACAATTTTGTAGTTATATAAGCATTAAGATTCCACATGTTCTAGTTTTCCAAAATTATATCATCCATAACCTAACTTAAAGATAACAAGTTCATATCCACATGTTCTAGTTTAAAAACACATTATTTTAGAAGATTGCATTATTTGCCCCATATACCAACACTAATTACTGACATGAATTGCTTAGCTTACTAAAAGAAGTATGCACAATTCCAATGCAACTTATCCTTTTGGAGCCTGTCCTTTCTTTCTCTTGGTCTCACCCAACAAGCTTTGACTCCTGGCACCAAACACGGGCAAGACCTACGAACTCCAATCTTCCTCTTTCACACTCTGAACATAGTTGCTGCGTGACTAACGTGTGAATTTTTCTGAAAAAGAGCCTCAGGAGATGGGGATTGCGGTGCAGAACTTCCGCCAGTGCTGGCGCTTATGGAAGTTCCTCTTGAGCCACCCCCGGTTGTTGATTGGGATTGAAACGTTCATTCCTTATAATCAAAATGCTACATCTAAACCTGGTTTTTGCTACTTGGGGACTTCTTATTAGTCTGCCTCCTTTCTCCGGATGAAATATAACAATGTTTGAGCTCCTGCTTTGCTTGCGTTCTTCACCGCCACATTAGAAAGTATGTAATGAGGGTTAAGAGGTAGCCAGGATAGAAGAACAGAAAGAATTTGACTTTTGACGAACAAAACTCTAAATTGAGCTTACTAAAAAGAAGTATGCACAATTGATTAATTTATGCTTATAGAATCTAACTTAGAAAATTTGTCAGGTACTACACGAGCATGGATAATCCTTCAATTTATTGTTTCAAGTCAATATCCTTTTAAAAAGGTGACTATGGTAATCTGGTAGTACTAGAAATTTTCTAATCTAACTGCATGTATAATGATCTTTATATTCTCCTATTTAGTGACACAGTTCAATGTTGTTCTAAAACTTATTCAAGTACAACATCTACATATGACGTTAAAGACACGGAGAGCGACCTGATTGGAGACAGGTCTTAAGGTGGAATAGATATGAACTCTGCTCTATCACTAATGCACTTTTACTTTTGTGGATGAAACGTTAGTACGGTGCCACAATTTGAACTAAAAATTCTTCTCCTGCAAGGAATCAAAAACTTCAATCTCTTATCAGGCTCTAGACAGTCAAAACCTTCAATTTATTCTTGTAGGCTCCTTCCAAAAAAAGGAAAAGCCACAATAATCACCTACATATGATGCGGTAACCAAATTGCATAAACTATTAGCCAAGTTCCAATCTTCACCCATGCATCATGAAAGTCACAGAAAATTAGACATGTTGGGATCTCCCACTGGCCTAACACTTGACATGCATACACACAAATGATCCTTTTATCAAACAACAATCTAGCCTCATCTCCTAAATAGCTAGCGGCATGTCAAACATGTAACCCAGTCCCTAACGATGAAAGTGTTTCCTATTGGTGGTAATAGTACTATTATCCCATGCAACTCCCAAGAGTCTCTTGACAGACCAACACTAGTAGCCTAACAGAAGGAGTATTAAAAGGAAAAATAAAAAATAAAAAAAAAATAATATCAAAGGCGTAGATGACAAATACTAACTACGAGGCACAAATACAGCAGAACTCTTCTATCCATTGTACCATTGTTTAGATATTCAACACCTCAACAAAAGAGCCCCCAACAATTCCTAATCTTTTCTGCCTGGAAGAAGATAGTCCCTATTATAATAATCACAAAACCAAAATGCAGATCCCAAGTCCAACAAAAGAAAGAAGGATCTCATATTTCCAGATTTTGAAATCTGATACAAGCTGCTCCACATATTTTTTTCAAGTGTCACCATGAAGACTTCGTTTTTATCCCGATAACTGCAAGAAATTTAATTTCAGAGCACCAAGGAAGGACTTATAACTAAAACCACACCATAACAACGTAAGAAGGAAATGCGATGAGGCTGGAGGAGGTGTTAGAACAATAGGCCTCTCGACATTTTCACAAAGGCTTGATATTATGCACTTCGTAAACCCACATGGTTTTTCTTGTGAAAACCAAAAACCTTCTCCACTTTGACCTGATTTGGAACTACATTGACATCCTCAATGAAAGGGTAAGGAAACTAAAGCCAAAGAGATTCATGGAGCCCTGTGTTAATGGTTAATTTGAATCTTGGACATGATCATCACAAACTCTAGGTATTTCAGCTCTTGACTTGAGAACAGAAACCCAAACGGAAAACCTTAAGATCAAATGTTTAGGAATATAGAAATATGAGTAGACTAAAAGAAACCCCCCCAAGAAAAGAACCTCAGTGCGAGCTCATCGATGAGCAAAGAAAAAAGAATAATACAAAATAATAAGGCCCTAGTAAAGACGAGGAAAACCGGCAAAAATCAATAGTAAGAATAATAAAAATCAGCAACATTACTGTTCAGAATTTTCCAGGTTTACCCGAGAATTTTGCAGCTATCAGTGAAGAAGAATAGTGGAGCATCAGGAGTAAAGATCAACCGCCTTAAGAATGGTATTACACCAATAACCATGGCTAAAACCTGCAACAGATGGCATAATCAATCAAGAACAGTAACAAAAGAATGTGGAAAGATATCTGAATTTGGGATCTCAGAAACTTCATCAATTTAATAAAAACACCAAAAGCATAAATCATCTTCACATGTTTATCTTTATTCTCTTTTTCCCTTCACAGAATTTCCCTTTACAAGAGAGCATATCCGAATTTATTTTTCTCGAGTACATGATTTCAGTTCACAATTTCGAAAGAGGATGAAAATGACGCTCCAATGAAATTTATCTAGTATTCACTAATCATGGCATGTTTCATAAAACCCCTAGTGATAGACTACAATTCATTAAAATAATAGATCTATACTAACCGAAGCAATGATAGGAGGCTGGAAAAATAGCTTGAGCTTCAATTTCTCAAACCAATACATAAGGAATCCTTTAGTCTGCATACAGAGGAAAGTTGTGACAGGCAACTTCAAATTGTATTTTCTTTCTAAAGTAACTTTAGAATGGATAAGAAGTCATTTACCCTGACCTAACAAAACCCAAAAAGTAATTAGCCATCTCAATCTCCATTATTTTAGAAATAATGATTTTAACTGATCAAAAATACTCCTGACAATTTAACAACATAATAGTTTTCATAAATATGAGTTGATTTGTTTCCATAAAACCATAACTAAGGCAGCATAAATTAACTAATGAATAACCTAAGAACAGAGAATCTGCTCAAAATTGAAGATGATAGCACTTTCTTCCACAATTCAAATTCAATGTCATACTAGTATAAAAAAAATTGTCACTTTGACATTAGTTAAAGTATTAAATTCCTAAAAATATAAAACATCCTATTATACGTTGATTAATAAAAATGAACCTCACCATGAATCCATTTAATTGAATAAGGCAATACTAACAACAAATCAAAATAAAGTCTCACCTCTTCCTTCTTAGAAGGATCTGAATATGTAGAAGGTATCTCCTGAAGAAGCAAGGGAACAAGCACAGGTGTATGATCCTTTTGCAGGGTCTTAACTGGAATACTTTCATCTTTAATCTCAAATGTACCCTCAGGGGGAGGTGTCAACATTGCATACACATAGGTATAGATGATAATTGCACCAACCTTGACGTTAAAAAATAATTGTGTGGGTATTATTTAGTATTTACACATTAAGTAAACTTAGCTAAGTTTGTTAGTTGGGAACAATCGTTTTTTATTCTTTTTTTGGCCAAAAAACAGAGCTATTATAAGTTGAAAAGTTACTAACAACAGTGTAGGTCTCCTGAAAGGAGTTGCAAAAGGCACCCCATCTTGAGTTAATTGCAAAGGGAGTGTAAGTAAATAAGGAATTTGATAGTGAACACCAATTAGAACAATGGTCTTATCTATCAAATACTTCATTCCACTCTCTTCCTTTTCATTAAACGTATATTGCTTGGTTTGAGCCATAGGGCCCAAAATATAAATCGTTACTTAGGGATGAAGATAAGCTAAGTCATGGATGGACTACTTGATATTTAGAATGATTTATGATGAAGACTTATTAATATTCAAAACAAAACAATATCCAACTTAGATAAATGCAGAGGTCCCAATGAGTTAGGTCAAAAGTGCTGAAAAACCCACCCACTGGCCAAATGAAATATAAGCAATCCCATAAGTACTACACTTCTCTGAATCACCAAAAGGGTTGGATTCGTCTCTACAGAGGGCTGCAATAATAACGAGAGGCACATTCCCAATGTTCCCTGAATACCAACATCAAAGCATAGAATGTTTACAAGGATGAAAACATAGAACATTCATATGAGATAATCAAACCAGGAGGTTCAAGTCAACAATTTCCACAGCCTATATGTCAGCTACAGGAACAGTACGGTGTTATAAAGTACAGGAAAGCTAAGGATTGTTTGATCCGTTATTCATTTTTTTACAAAGAAAAGAAAAAAGAAAAGAAGGATGAACTAAGACACGAGGTAAAGGATATTTCAATTCATTCAACAGAACAGGAAGTGTTTATTGAATATTACTACATAAAACTGATTCTATATGCACTGTTCCAATTCAATCAGATTCTTTCTATTATATTAATGGCATGATTTATACAAGTAGTATACTTTCTTTGGCAGGCAGTTAGTTACAAACTAATTGATGTTAACAAACTTCAAACAAAGTCAGCTAAGACTTACAAAAACAAGCTGATTCCAGGCCTTGGAGCAGAAGAGGGTACCCCAGACTAGTGGGGTGGAGCCCCCAATACCAGATTATAAAAATAAAAAAAAATACATGAATTAAAAAAAAAAAAAAAAACAACTTTCACACGCAGTATATCATTCAAACTTATAATATTTCCTCCCCCCTTGAGAAATAAACTCAACTTGGTTTTAGGTAGGTAAGGAACATCTATCAGGTGGATAGTCTGTGCTAGAATCTATCATATAAGGCTCATTCATGGAAATTCCCTATTGGACTAGAACTACCTTGATCAAATTAGCAATTTTGGAATCCTCAGTTTCGTTCCTTGATCCATTAAGTTTAAGTTCTTGATAACTTATAGTCATTTGAACAACTCCTAGCTTATTTTTCTGCAACTGTGGATTGAAAACATCTACCAAAATATCTGGCCAACATGATTGATTTGTGTCTCATGCAGCACAAACCTCACAGTGTCATTTAATCAGTGCACAAGTAGTAGGTCCACACTCGGATACCATAATTGATGCACGATTCAGAAGCAGACAAACATTATTCTAGTTTTCCAATTCCAAACTGACAGCCCTTTTGGCAGTTGGTTACAAACTAATGATCACTACCAGATATCTGAAATAACCAGCCATCTAAGTGACAGAAAAAGGAAACAACTCATGTCATACAAATACATAAACTCAAAGTTACTATAGCAAGATCAAGTGGTTTACCGATCCCAATTTGTACAATCGTGAACTTGAAGAAGGGGTATGGAGGACGAACAATTGATGCAACAATTAATCCAATTAGTGAACCTGATATGGCAGTCAGCACAATGTTTGCAGGAATAAACCACCTACAGAAGGCCACAAATGAAATTAGATGCTATCAGTTTACAAGATTCAAATCAAAACAGGAAAATGTAAAGATGTGTATTTGGCTCCCACCATTGAAAAAATTTCTCCATGGTAATACTTTGCCCGAGCTGAGAGAATATTAAACATGGAAGCAAAAGCGAAAAGACCAACTGCAGCACAAGAAGCAGAAACAATCATTCAGAGTCCATTTAAACACTTAAAGAGGTGCAAGAAAATGTGCACGCGAGTGTTGAGGATTGTTGAGAGGGAGTCCCACATTAGCTAATTTAGGGAATGATCATGGGTTTATAAGTAAGAAATACATCTCCATTGGAATGAGGCCTTTTGGGGAAACCCAATGAAAAGCCATGAGAGCTTATGCTTAAAGTGAACTACCATTGTGGAGATCCGTGATCCTAACAGTGAGTGCATTGGGGGGCCTATAATACTAATCATCAAAAATAAATGGTCTGTTCAAAACTTCATATCAGAAGCTGAGTATCTGGAAAACATTACTGAGTTTGTTCTGAGTGTATGAATTAGATGGAGTTAAGCGGCATACCCTATTCAAAAGTCTCCTTCCACTCGCAGGCAAGATGTTGACATATTTAGATGCCAAAATAAAACCCAGAAAGCACATGGTGAAAACTTTGGCTATGGGTAACACTGCAATCTTTATATTGACGAGCAGGGACTGCCCTCCCGCCTGAGCTTCTGAGACGATGGCTGACAGGAATCTTTCCATAGTTTCCAAGTCAAACTGATCAGTTTGTCACCCAATTTTCTGATTTTCAGTCTCAGGAAGATGAAATCCACCGCAACTACATCAAACAAAATTCAAAATTTGAAGCTGTTCTTAGATGGAACTACGGGTTCCCTTCCAACCCGAAATTCAAATCAGGAACAAATCTCACTGCGAAAACTCAAACCCAAGCTAAATCAAAAAGTAGAGTTCGGATAATTTGTTTCTCAGTTTTCCTGATTACAAGACGCACTTTAAACTACAACTTTAAGCATAAACAACAGCCTCCAAACAATTAAAGGAATTATTAAAAACCAGACGTAAAACAAGAGGAATTTGAACGGTAAAACCAGTTGGAAAGTAGCATCACGAACAAAAATCATTGTTTAGTAAAACAAAACAACACAAGTTGAATCTAAATTCAGAAATAGGATGCCGAAAAAGAAATGCTAACAGCGACACAAATTTCTTGTAAACATTTATGCTATGAATACCGACGATAGAGATTCATCAAACCGATAGAGAAAACAATAATAATTAAAACAAAACACCACCACAGAAGCCACAACAAATCACCATCTGCGAACGACACTAGTCAGGATAAAACACTCAAAACCGAAAAACCGAAGAAGATAACCTTTCAAGCTCTGAATTAGGACCAGATGCTAATCTGCATAAAGTAAAGCCAAATTCAACTGGAAGTGGATCAAGTACTCGGAAACAGCTCTGTCAATGGCGATTTGCACTGCAAGTAAACCAACCGCGCGCAAAATATAGCGCTCCACACTTCCCATGGCTGGACGTTGAAGTCGAATCTTTCACCGAATAACAACAGCGCTCGGTCCGTAGAACGAAAACGACGGCAAGATTCGACATTCCTCTGACACAGACGAAGATTTGCATGAGCTTTGGAAAATGAATTTTTGCTCTGAAACAACGAATTTCGCTATGGAGGGAAATTTTTAATTATTTTTAATTGCGATCTCCATTAAAAGTGTAATCAAAATATCATTTTATGATCTTTTTTTTCTTCATTAAATTTTGCTAAAATACTTTTAAACTTTATTCCGTTAATATTTTATTTTACAAATATCAAACTTTAAAAAAAATTATCAATATTCTTCAATTTAAAAAAAATTTAAAAAATACCCTACTTTATTTTAAAATATATATGTGTATGACACCACCTTTTATAAAAAAAAAATAATAAAAAAGGTTCGTACCGTCAATAATATAGACGGAACCGTCTGTTGGATGATGAAAGTCTTACATCGGCTAATTTAGGGAATGATCATGGATTTATAAGTGAGAAATACTAACTTCATTGGTATGAGGCCTCTTGGGAAGCTCAAAACAAAGCCATGAGAGCTTATGCTCAAAGTGGACAATATCATACCATTGTGGACATTCGTGTTCGTCTAACATGGTATTAGAGTCATGCCCTAAACTTAGCTGTGCCAATAGATTGGCAAATCCTCGAATGTCGAACAAAGGACTCCAAAAAGAAAAAAGGAGTCAAGACTCCTCGAAGGTACGAAGGCAGTAAAAAATGACTAAGACTCCAAAGGAGTCGAGCCTCGATTAAGGGGAGGCGTGCTTCGTGCTTTGTTCAAGGGGAGGTGTTGGATGATAATGATCATGAGTTTATAAGTGAGGAATACTAACTTCATTGGTATGAGGTTTTTTGGGGAAGCTCAAAGCAAAGTCATGAGAGCTTGCACTCAAAGTGGACAATATCATACCATTGTATCATACCATTGTGGAGAGTCGTGTCAACACCTTATAAATAATCTTCGAACTTTTTTTAATGTTGTTTTTTAAAATTCGTAAGTATTTTTACTAAGGATATTTTTTATAAAAAAAAAAAAAAAAAAAGGTATTATTGATTTTTTTAGATTTTTTTTAAGTATACAAATATTTTAACTATTTTTATTAATTGAAATTGGTTAAATAACAATAATAATAATTTTTAAAAAAATACCATTTAAATAAGTTAGACAAAATTTATAAACAAAGAGAGTTGGTAGAATTTTTTAAAAAATAATAATAAACTTATTTTAAATTTTATTGAAATTTCATTTTCTCATAATATAGAATCAATTCCGAGAATATAGAATCAATTTCAAAAAATAAGAACTAAAATAATATTTAATCTTAGATATTTGACTTAGAGAACAAAATTTTGTAATAATAATATATTTTTAAGATATATGAGAATAAATTATTAAGAAATATAATAAATACTTCCCAAGTTACTTTCAATAATTTTATTATATTAAGTAGTTTATTTTTAATTAAATAAAATTATTAAAATAAATTTAATCAATTAACTTTTAATTTAAGAACTCGAACCTAAGCGGAACTCAATTTTCAGATCATGTCAATGGATAGAGTAAGGAATTAGAATTTTTTTTTTTTTTTTTGTGACGTTATTTATTTTCAAAGAGAGATGCTCACGAGAATAATGTATTCCCAGGCAACGTTTATACTCATTTTTGTTTATACTTTTATTTTGAATATACAAATTAATTAAATAATTGATATTGGTTTAATATGATTAATATAATTAACATTTAATTAGAATAAATCTTACATTTAATCAAATTTTCGAAATTACTTATTTACTAAAATTGCCAATTAGTTAGTGTAATTAATTAGCTAACTAGTATTAGTTAACTGAAAATAATTTTTAAAATATAATTAATTGATTCAAATTAAATTTATAATTAATAATAATGAATTATAATTAATTAAAGTTGGTGAAATGTTATATTGTAATTATTTTATTCATGCTATATAAATTCATTTTTACTATCTTATGAATACTTTATCATAATTATATCATTTTAAATAATTTATTATATTGGTATATTTTTTTATTATTATTATACTAATTATTTGTAATTAAAAATTATATAATTAAAATCAGAGTATATTATTATCGATAATTAAATAAATTAAAAAATATATATATAATTTAAATATATATATTTCACAAATTAAAATTTAGTTGTTAAAAATTATTTAATAATTTGACTTAATAGAACAAAATAATTAATAATATTAGAACTAAATATAAATATTATTTATTTATATTAAATTTTAATAAGGCCTTTTATTCTTAAATATCTTATTTCGAAGTATTTATTCTTAAGCCTTTCAAGAGTTTTTATTGTTCCTTCTTTTAAAAATAAAAGATAAAAAAGAATAAGTTTTTTTTTTTTTTTTTGAATGTCTAAAATTTTAGTATTGGTGAAAAGGACCCTTATGAGGCCAATCATAGGGTTGCTCTTAACCCATCGTTACTAGATATTGTCCGTTTTAGCCCGTTACATATCGCTGACAACCTCATGGTAACGTGTCTACTAAGGAGAGGTTTCTATACCCTCATAAGGAATGTTTTGTTCTCCTCTTCGACCGATGTGAGATCTTACATTCCATCTCCCTTGAGGACTCAATGTCCTCAATAGCACACCGTGTCTAGCTCTTATACCATTTGCAACAGCCCAACCCCACCGTTAGCAGATATTGTCCGTTTTGGCTTATTACGTTTCGACATAAACCTCACGATTTTAAAACGTGTCTACTATGGTGAGGGTTTAGCCCTACTCTGACCAGTGTCTCACACTGCTTACTCTGATACCATTTGTAACAGCTCAACTTCACTACTAGCAAATATTGTTTGTCACTTCTTTGTTTCATTTGAGTTTCAATCCTTTCTTTATTTCTCGAGCTTAATCATTATATTTGACCTAGGCTCTCCTCCATGAGAACAACGTGCTAGATGAACGCCCCCTTAGAGAGCCTCAACTTCGACCGCATGTCAAGGCTAAGGTGAGGAATTGGGCATAGCCCAAGTCACGTGTTTTCTTTTTTATGTGTAATAATCATAATGTGGACTCTATAGATGATGATTTGGACTTGAAATAAATGTGACAATAACGGATATCAACACACAAAGACTAATGGTGCTCGTAACAATGAACGACTTCATTTATGTATCTTTGACTTTTCTATTATGTTTCTCTACTCCATTAAAAAGATTGTAATGCCTTGTGAAAGCACCTCTCGTGCTTGAATTTTCCATCATTTGTTGACTTCTACGGCTTAACCGAGGGCTTCGATTCACCTTGTTTTGGATAACTGTTGCATTGAATTGATTGAAAAGTTAGGTTGTGAATAGTGAGTCCATCCTAGTCAACTCCTTTGACTTCCTAGAATTGTCTTTTGAATAGAACCGAAGATTGTTGCTAATTCTAAATCATCAATTCGAGCTGATGTCTCTTAGAGACCCCCGACTTCGACCTCAGTCATCGCTTCGACCTAATGTTTCTTGGTAAACCCCAACTTCAACCTCAATCATGACTTCGACCTGACGTTTCTTGGTGAGCCTCAACTTCGATGTGTTCTTTCCTTTTTCTTTTTTGTTTAGGAAGGAGACATATTCTATGTCTCGTTTTTTGTTTGATAGAAAAACATATCCCGTATATCCTTTGTGCAGCTCCCTCAATGAAAATTTTTCTTGTAGGAAGAACGTGTTCGAGTACAAATGGTTTTTTTTTCTTTTCAAAATATTACGTGTTTGAGTACAAATGTAATATCGACCTATAATTTTTAGATTACACGTACAAAATATATGTTAATACATAACAAAGACATATAATCAATGGAATTCAAATCGACATAATGAAATTAAGACTATCGAACACGAATGACGTGGGACCCGCGACACTTTTTTAAAAAATTAAATAATTTTAGAATTCAACAATCAACCGTCTTCAACCTTCCCTCACACACCTTTAATGTAAAATTATTAAATTTGAATTAAATTATAAAATTAATCCATAAAATTTTAAATTTAAGATTATCTTAAATTATTTATAAAAAAAAACACACTGAATTTAAAAAAGTAAAGTCCTTCGAATCCTTACAAGTATCCCACTAAAAATTATGAACAGATGAACAATGAAAGAATAAACAATTCAAAGAAGGAAGAACGCTTCAAAAAGAGTAACAAAATCAAATAAACCAATTAGAACAGTGGAAGAACAGCTCTAAATCCATCTACAAATCTGTTCATAATTTACGATTTAAAAAAGAACGCTTCAAAAATAGTAACAAAATCAAATAAACCAAATAGAACAGTGGAAGAACAGCTCTAAATTCACCTACAAATCTGTTCATAATTTACGATTTAAAAGCGCTTAAGCAATTAGATCTTTGTATGATAACTACACTGCTGATCTCCAATTTTCCTATCTGATATATCGATCGTGAAATCACAGGACGTACTCGAAACAACTCGAATTTTGAAAATCCCCAAAATCCTCACCTTACCTGAAATTCTCGTGTACGTATTCAACGGCATAGATCCGGCGACGACGTCGGACAACACCGTCGACGACCTCAGAAGCCGATCCGCCATGATCGTGACCGTGATGTTCATCCGCTTGCTCTGGTTCGCATTGATACGGCCAGACGGAATCGGCGCCTCGCCGATAAGTTCGCCTCTGTAATTGAGCAGTGCGGTGCTGTTGGAATAGCTGAATCCGACCTTGTTAGGGTTTGTGATTGAGACGTCGACGATTAATGTGATGTTGAGGCCGACGGCGGATCTGGCTATGTTGAGCGACAAATCAAGGTCGGCTAGGGCTACGGAGTTGATGGTGGTGATTGGGCGTTTGGCTTTGAAGACTGTGAAGGCTAAAATGACGATTAGAACTATGAGGAGGAGGACGGTGGCGATTGAGACTCCGATGCAGGTGTTGCGGCGTCGACGGGAGCGGATGGATTTGGGATCCTTGGTTGTGGAGGAGGCGATTTCCATGGCGGACGGACGGTGTTTGGATCTTGAAAGAGGATTCAGATTTTGGCATTTATGGCGCCATTGGAGTTGGGATTTGACTCTCAAATATGAACAAATTGAAATTAATTAGGAGTAGAACAAATTGACGCATTTGAAACTCTTGAAAACATTAGAAACCATATGAATTTCTTACCTAAAGTTTTGTTTCGATTTTGATGAGAAGTATTCATACAACTTGAAAACTCCACCAACTTGATTATCCAATCCAAATCTTCTATTTGAATTTGATTGAATTTTGGAATTGGGTGGAGAGTTAACATTTATTTTATGTCTAGTCTAGTCAACCCAATCAACTATAAAACAGTGTTCCAATCCAACCCAACTCTATCATATTTTTAAGATTATTATGAAAATTAAAAATATTTAATGGGCCGATATTAATGATATAAATGTTTAATATTTGAGCTTAATGAAATTTTAATTATTAATGTAATATATATATATATATATATATATATATATATATATATATATATATATATATATATATATATATATATATATATATATAT